ATGATTCAACTTTGATTGAGGAGAAACAGGCTGAAGAGCAGAAGAGTGGCGCCACCTAAAGGCCGGGACTCAATGACACAGTTTGACTGCAATGTGACATGTAAATTCTGTTATTTCACATTAGTAAGACAGGAGACTTTAAGTCAATGTTTCTTCTTTTGCAATATTTGTTTAAAAAGGCCTTTAGCTTGAAGAAGTGAAAAGTGACTAAAGATGAGTTTTATGTTTAGGCTACTGAGACTTCAAACTCAACAGAAACATTTCATGAGTTATAGTAAAATCCTGAATGTTCCAGGATTTGTTAGACATCCTGTAATTCAGCTTCATATTTTGTTCATTGAATCGCTGACCATAAAGTTCTTAGTCACAAAATCCTTCAACCTTCCGACATTTTGATTTTTATCTATTTTTGTAAAAGGATGCATTTGTTTTGCCTAATAAAGAAAAAAAATGCATGATAATAATCTCTAGTAAAATAGCGGCAAGGGACTTTGCTTCTGCCTATAATATTTAAACTAACTCACTTTTATTTTTACAATATTTAACATAGTATTTTCCCTGGCCGGTATTTGTTCTTCTACCTGAATAAAGGATGCTTTTCTCACCACTGCACATCACAAACTCCACATGAAGCTTTTAACGGGCAGTAAAATACAGATAAATGAAGATATTCAAGCAGCTTATAAAATAGCACTAAGGAAAGGAGATGAGGAATCAGTTGAAGGGAACCAGATCACTCCCTCTCTGTCGTTCTGTATTCAGCAGCACGATGCTCCTGTCTGCCTCCTTCCGAACAGAAATCCCCTTAAGTCTGCAAACGGTGAGCAGTGGAGGCGGGTGAGTCGACCAGCTGCTGCGTCAGACTTCCAGAGTGGATCTTAATGTTGGAAAGCCTGCGAGTCGTCTTCTATTTATTCATTTATTGGCAGAGAGAGTAAAGCTCCCGTAAAGCTGCACTCGCCACGCTAAGAAGCCGTGACTTCATGTGCAACACAAGAAGAGAGCTGAAGCTGAAGGTCAGCAGCACCTGAGCGGCCTCCTGCTCGATCACAGTATCACACAGGATCACATGTATTCCATTACATTAATTATGTGTCTGTGAGGGAAATGGCTTCACATTTACATGTAATTGCGTGCTTGGCCAGCAGGTGGCAGCATTTCCTGTCCGTCACAAAGAAGAAAACCAGGGTTCCTAACAGTCACACTTCAACACTCACGTCCCTTAGCCAGCCTTCTTTTGCAGACGGCTCTGTTGTCTGTTCTGAATGTTAGATGTACGCCCCCTGATTTGCATATAAGAACGTGAAATGTAAAACGGCATTGTGAAATAAGTCTCTGGAAATGAAAAACGGCATTATGAAATAAAAGTCTTTGGAAATGTAAAACGGCATTATGAAATAAAAGTCTCTGGAAATGTAAAACGGCATTATGAAATAAAGGTCTCTGGAAATGTAAAACGGCATTATGAAATAAAAGACTCTGGAAATGAAAAGTGGCATTATGAAATAAAAGTACCATGAAATGAAAAGTGGCACTTTCTTTCTCACTGCACGCGTCACTTTCACTTGTCACTTTCTGTTCGCTGGTGCACTTTATGCACCAACCGCCAAGTCAAATTCCTGGTATGTCTAACATATTATGGCAATAAATGTTTCCTGATTCCTGTGAGTGACGTAACTGAAGAAATGAGCGTTGTCGTTTTACACAGGAAACAAACATGGTGGAAGATCAGAGCCTGTTGGATCCGTCCACTTCCTCTTATCTGCTTATTTAATAATAAATATCAAATTATGTCATGACATTACATATATTCTGGTAGTATGCCCATTAAATCCCAACTAACCAGATGATCAGGACCAGGTGAGAGCATTGGTAAGTTTGTGTGCCGGAAAAGTTAGTGATGCACATTGATGTTTACACTAATAGAAATGGGAATATTAATGGTGTTAGAAGCGACAGGCGGCAGCAGCTGTTGGTCTTCCAAAGTCCGTAAGAAAACATTTCAGAAGACACTTCAGAAAATGTTCGAGAATGATAACCAATGTGTTTATAAATTTATTTTTACTTATTTTGGAAATCAACCAGTAAAGTCTCTGAGATCGACGGCTTGGCGACGTCTGCTCTACAGGCTAGAGAACGTCAGTCTGACTGCCATTGGGTATCTGGATAAGATCCTTGAACCCAAGGTCAGACCCTGACCTGAGCAGTAGGTCCTGGGTTCCTCCTGATGCACGACAATGGCCTCATGGGGCCAGAGTATGCAGGCATCACCTGGAGGATGAAGGAGTTGATACCATTGAATGGCCATCACGATCACCTGACCTACACCCAATAGCTGTGGGACATTATGTTTGGGTCCATCAGACGGCGCCAGAGGCTTCAAGCTGCACTGTGATGAGGACGTAATACGCCACAGTTGAATACTGCATGTAACAACAAGTACTTTGTACAGCTGCAGTTTGTCCAAAAGGTAAACGGTTTGTAACGCAGATTCAGACTTACCGTGGGTAAGTTGTTCCGCCCCAACAGGTTGAACCAGATCATCAAGGTGGAGTGAAGAATAAAAACACTCTCAGGTCAGACTCTATTGTCTTAGTGAATGTTTTCATCCAATATAAACTCTTCTAAACATTTGTAACAAAGGTTTCTGCTTCATCACGTGTTCCCTACCAGTCTACATGTAGAAGAAGACCAGGTGACAAAGAGGGGCGTTCACGGGTCCTCTAAACCAGTGTTTTTCAACCTTTTTTGCGTCAAGGCACACTTAAAACACAGAAAAAATCTCACGGCACACCAACAACCGGAAATGATATGAAAATCAATCCCAAACATAGTTTCAGCATGAGCATAATATACTCTAAGAAATCAGGGAAACGCGTGTTCTATTTGTTGTGTTTTATTAAACTTAACATCATCCTAATGCCAAGATGGCACAGGCTTTATGCCCAGGTATCTCTTAAACCGGATTTATGCTTCTGCGTTTTCAGAGCGACGCAGGCGCAAGACCCCCTTGCGTGTCCCTTGCGTCGCTTTTCACACCTCCTTGCGTCCTTACGTGTGTCGAGACATTTTTCTAGGCAAGCGACGCAAGCCTCCCGCAGCGCACCAGGCTGCGATTGGTCCGCTAACTACGTCCTTTACGGAGTCTCACATTTCCGCTTTCATAGCCCGATAGCACCATTATTAAAACGAAGAATGTTTATGAGAGAACGGAGCATATTTAAGAACTTTTGTCGGAGGAAATGCGTAAATATGACCGCGTATACAAAGCCGTCATTGGCGGGTTGTAGAAGCGGGTTGGATTCACGGAGGGAGATCGCCGCAAACGACGGTTTGCCGGTCGAGAAGTGCGCCAAGTTGTGGAGTAATATACGGGACAAATGTGTCCGCGATGAGAAGCAGCAGTGGCGATGCACGGGACAATAAAGTCTATGATAAATAAACAAACAAATAAATAAATAGACGTGACTCTCTAGGGTCGTCTTCAACAAAACACGTTACTCCGCCTGTTGTTCTGGAGGTGAATTGCTCTGCAACACACGCAGAACCATGAATTGAAACGAGTGCGTCGACGCAGACGCAGAAGCAGAAACATGCGCCGGCCTTAAATCTCACTTTTTTAAATTGTCGCCTCAGCAAATCTGCCTATTAATTACGCTGCGTAGCGCCACCCACAGGCAGAGGGGAGTATTGAGCCTTCATACCACCAACAGCGCGACGACACACACAGAGAAGTGACAGTATGTAAAAAAACATTTTTTTTTTTACTGCTCTAAACTATTTGGTCTCGACTCTTCGCTGTCCTTGCTCCGAAATGGTGGAACGAGCTCTCTGAAGACACCAGGACCGCAGAGAGCCTTCACGTCTTCCGCCGAAAACTAAAGACACACCTCTTCAGACTCTACCTCCACTAAAAGACTAACAAATTGTAGCACTTACATTGTACTTATAACGTCACTCATCTATAGCAAATTGTAAATTATTTGAGGAAATTGCACTTTCTTGTTTCTTGTTCTTCTGAGTTTGTACATGGTTGAATGCACTTATTGTAAGTCGCTTTGGATAAAAGCGTCAGCTAAATGACATGTACCGGTAATGTAATGTAATTATCCAAACTACAGCATCCAGTCTGTTGTCATAGCAACTCTTTACAAGGTGAAAGGATTTTTCCACAGATGCTGGTTTTGATCCTGAAAGACTCTTGTTTGAGCAGTGAGGAGGATTCTGTTCATGAGGACCTTTGAACCTGTTAACACTGTGAACAGCTCTGACTGAAACTCAATCGACCAGTCAGACTACATACTTTAATGGTGACGTGAGGACACATCCTCTCTGATGAAGGACAACAAGCTGCGTCACTTCACTCCGTCTGAACAAAGCCTCACTTCCAACCAACAGTCACACACTCTGCCAAATTCACCTTTGTTAAAATGACCAACCTTCCTCTATTTCACTACGGTGATATAATTTATAAAATGGCATCAAAGTAAACTAAAAACTGAAATCTCAGAAAATTTCCACTGGGATCTTTACAGCTTGGTGGATTGGCCCTCCCTTCACACCAGGCAGCTACAACACTGGCTGCTTGTGATCTACAAATCCATTGTGGGAATGACCCCTTCGCTACCTCTCAAATCTTCTGCACATTTACGACAGCAATTGTCATTTAAGATCCAGTGACTTAAATCAGCGCATCATTCCAAAAGTCCGTACTGTGTTTGGTCATAACTCCTAATAAATTTACTTCCAGTAATCTGCCTTTTTTTGTACATAGTGTTTTTTAATTGAACTAACACGTTGCATGCAATTATCCGGTCTTTTCCAAATAACTTAGTCAACCAGTCAGACTGCATACTGTGATGCTTTGTCGGATGAGGACACACCCACTCTGTTAAAAGAGAGTGTAAAAAAATAGGATAAAATAAGCTCTAACAAGCTGCAACACTTCACTCCGTCTGATGGAAAGTGAAGCACGGAGCTCCTTTTCTACACGGACCTGCTGAGGACAGAAGAGAGCTGCACACTGAGGAAGTTCATGTCTACAAGCTTAGTAAGTGGAGCTGTGATTGGTTGAATGACATCATTGACGGTTGTGAACGTGTGATTGTTTAAAGCTGGGAAACAAGATGGCGCCTGTTTGAGCAGGCAGAGAGAAGCTTTTATATTTGAGGTCTTATATTTTTCGGTTGTACATTTGATATTTTTAGATTCAAATCTTGTTTTTTCACTTTTGGCCCTGATATGGCTTGGGAGGCGTGGCATCAATGATGAGGGGGGCGTGTCATCATGAGTGACAGCTTAACAATGAAGGCTGAAAACCTTCCTCAACCAGAAATGTATCAACACTTTTAATACACAATATTCACTTTTTTTAGTTGTGTCGACCTCAAACTGCTTTCATATTTCTTGATGAAACACAATCTTTCAAACACAGACATTAACGCTCATACTTACTATATATATATATATATATATATCTCTTATAGGAGAAGAAGTTAAGCCCTTCAGAGAGACGCAATGACACACAGACGCAAGAGTCCCCTGCGTGCCTTTTCACACCTCCTAGCGTGCTTCGACCCATTTTTCTAGAATAGCGTCAAAAGCTACACAATCCTCCTGCAGCTCGCAAGGCTGGTCCGGATTGGTCCACTAACTACATCCTTTGCGGAGTCTCACATTTCCGGTTTCATAGCACAATACCGCCATTATTAAATGTTTACGAGAGAATGAATCAGATTGAAGAGCTTTTGTCCGTAAATATGACCACTTCTACAACCCGTCATTGGCGGACTATAAGGACTCGCGGATGGCCTGATTCATGGAGGGAGAGCTCTGCAAACGTCGGTTTGCCGGTCGAGGGGAACAAAGTTGTGGAGGAAAATACGGGACAAATATGTTGAAAAAAAGGCGATGAAAAGCAGCAGTGGCGATGCACGGGGAAATTAAATCTATGTTAAATAAATAAACAAACCTTCCACACACAAAGATGTCACTCTCTAGGTCGTCTTCGTCAAAAAACGTTACTTCACCTAGTGTCCTGGCGGTGAAATGCTGTTCAACAAGCGCAAGCCTTTTTCAGGAGTCAGGAAATAGTTATTGCCCTAATAAGTCAGACATACAAGGAATTTTAACCATGAATTGAAACAAGTGCGTCAACACAACCGGTAATATCCTGCAAACCCCAGGACCGGACACGGTAGTGCCAGTGGGCACTGGGAGTGCTGAAGGCCATTTTTTCACGAGACACGAGAGGGGGACCTGCCAGTACCCCTTGGTGAAGTCCAGAGTTGAGATGAAGCGGGTCCTCCCCAACCGGTCAAGGAGTTCATCCACTCGCGGCATGGGGTAGCTGTCGAACGCGGCGACTTCGTTCAGGCGTCGGAAGTCGTTACAAAACTGGAGGGTGCCGTCCGGTTTTGGTACCATCACCAACGGGCTGGACCAGGGGCTTCGGGAGGGCTCGATGACTCTGAGCTCCTTCATACATCACACTTTCTCCTCTATGGCCGTCCGGCGAGCCTCTGGCACCCGGTAAGGCCGCTGTCGCACGACAACTCCGGGTGGGGTGGGGATTTCATGTTGAATGGTGGTGGTCTGCCCGGGCTGTGTACAGAACACATCTCTGAACTGACTCACCAGGGCTTCGAGCTCCGTCTTCTGTACGGGGGACAGCTGCTCTCCCATGTCGACCACAGGGGGTTCTTTATCGGCCCAGGCGGCGAGCTGATCTTGAGGTCCCGGCATCCACCTCTTCAGCAGGTTCACGTGGTAGAGTTGGTGGTCCTTTCGGCATCCCGGCTGCCGAAGCTGGTAATTGACTGGCCCGACTTGTTCCACCACGTTGTAGGGGCTCTGCCAGGAGGCGAGGAACTTGTAGGCCGACGAGGGCACCAAGACGAGCACTCTATCCCCCGGGATGAAAGTCCGAGGCTGAGCGGGCCAGGCGGCGTTGAGCCTCTTCCAGATGACGTGAGCAGGGGCATTACCCGATCTATCCCGGCTTGAATCTCCTGGACATGCTCGATCACCGTGCGTTGCGGGCTTGGGGTCTGCCATTCCCAGGTGTCCCTGGCGACGTCCGAGGAGCGGTACGTTGGTTTGCCGGTCGAGAGGCCTTATTAAGTCTGCCGCTTAAATGGGGTTGGGTTAGTGGCATCAGCTGCCGGCGCTCAACTCGTGATTGTGTTGCGGCCGGTTTCCATGGCGCCTGATTGCAGGCCTTAGGTGACTCACCACAAGACGCAGACGCAGAAGCATGTGCCAGCCTTTAAAGTTAACATCGCTTCGCAGCTGCGACGCACACACGACTGCAGTGAGGACACACAACCAGGACGTGGATGAAAACAGGCATATTTCATCCAAAATAATTCATTGTGTGAAGTTTTGTGTGGCTTTTGAGTCTCTTTCTCTCTTTTGGTCTCTGATCGGGTGTTTCCCCAACAAACTAACGTTAGGTTCAATGGTGCATCTCAATATATATACATACATGTTCTAATAGATTTTATATAAATATATTTATATTGTAATATATTTATCTTTTAATACATAATATATGTATTATATTATATTTATATTGGATATTTATAATAGTTACTATATGGTAGGTATCATATTCTGAATATTGTTGCGGTTGAAGGTTTTCAGCCTTCATAGTTAAGCTGCCACTCATGATGCCACGCCCCTCAGTTGATGCCACGCCCCCTATGGCATATCAGGGCTAAAAGTCAGACAGTGAAAGAGTTTAAACTTGAAAAAATAAGATTTGAATCTGAAAATATTTTTTTTAAATATAAGAACCCAAATAACAAAAAGTAAGTGAAGAATGATAATAAATATTTTATTCAAAAGCGTTGAACTGAATCAAAAATGTATATTCAACACCAAAACTATTTTCATTCACTTATTTTCATTGTTGTATTTTTTATGTTCAAGACCAAAACGCAAACTTTCAGGTTCAATTTTCTTTTTCAGAAGACCAACACTTTTGGATTTGGCTCCATATACTTCCTGCTTCACGATGATTTGATTATGAATTGATTTTGTCTGATAAATGCAAATGACACGGCATTACTGTTGTTGCAGGTGAAGCTGTGAACCGCCTTCAAACTTCAAACCAGACTCATCCAACTTGTGTCCACAAAGAGGACGCTGACCTCATCAGAGGTGCTTAGAAAAAGAGAGAAGAATTCTATTTAATTGTGTATCAAAACCAATGAACTGATAAAACTTTTAAACTGCCGTTTGTTTTTTAAGATGGTCAAGAAGGACATCCTCAACATTTTAGATGACCTCATGAAGGAGGAGTTTGAAAGGTTCAAGTGGCACCTGCGGGACTATTCAAGCCTGGGACACCCACGAGCAATCCCACCCTGTGACCTGGAAACAGCAAACAGGATGAACACGGTGGACCTGATGGTTCGGTGCTACGACACAGATTCAGTTCAGGTGGCCATGAAAGTTTTGAAAATGATGGAAATGAACGATCTGGCTGACAAGTTATCAAAAATGAACTCTGACTCTACGGGTAAGTTGTTAAAAAGAGGAACAGAGGCATCAGATGCGAATAATAAAGATACGACATAAGTAAAGATGAGAAATGTGCTTCATAAATCCTCCTCATCCCAGGAGGGTGGAGCTCTTCTGAAGCTCCTCTCCTTCTGATGGAAGTATGAACACTAAATAACTGACATTAATGCAATTATTAACGTCAATATCATTCTTAATAAATGTTCTTAATAACGCGGCACCACCCTGGGAGGAGAAATTAAAAACCAAACTATAAATTCTGTCTCATAACTGGTGTTCACTCCATAAGAGGAACTACTCCACATTAAGAGCTTAAATTTTAATTTGAGCACAGACCGTATATACCAGCTATTATCACTCTACAAATGTACAAAGTAATCACAGAAAACATCTTGTTTCAGGCGAACCGAATCCTGTGGGAGGAGATAGAGGTCAAGGTGAAGAGCCATTTTGTATCACCGTGTAATTATTGCACACTTCAATTATTTCCATGTTCTAAGTTCTCATAGTCAGTCTTCTGGTAGCTTCAGGTAGACATGCAGCAAAATACAACCAATAACTTAACCCAGGGGAAATATTAGACCATTAAAGATATTACACCATTAAAGTAAAGTACTATCTGGTTGCTTTTTTTTTTTTTTTTGTTCATTCAGAGATCGTCAACGGTCAACGTGAACTCAAATCCAACCTGAAGGAGAAGTTCCAGTGTGTGTTTGAGGGGATCGCTGAAGCAGGAAACACAACCCTTCTGAATGAGATCTACACAGAGCTCTACATCACAGAGGGAGGGACTGCAGAGGTCAATCAAGAACATGAGGTCAGACAGATTGAAACAGCATCCTGGAAATCAGACAGACCAGAAACAACCATCAGACTAGAAGACCTCTTCAAAGCCTCAGCTGGAAGCAAGAAACCAATCAGAACAGTGATGACTATGGGAGCGGCTGGCATTGGGAAAACATTCTTAACACAGAAGTTCACTCTGGACTGGGCTGAAAACAAAGACCACCAGGACATACAGTTCACATTTCCATTCACCTTCAAAGAGCTGAATGTGCTGAGAGAGAAGAAGTTCAGCTTGGTGGGACTTGTTCATCACTTCTTCAATGAAACCAAAGCAGCAGAAATCTGCCGGTTTGAGAAGTTCCAGGTTGTGTTCATCTTTGACGGTCTGGATGAGTGTCGACTTCCTCTGGACTTCCACAACAATGAGATCCTGACTGATGTCACAGAGTCGGCCTCACTGGATGTGCTCCTCACAAACCTCATCAGGGGGAATCTGCTTCCCTCTGCTCGCCTCTGGATAACCACCCAACCTGCAGCAGCCAATCAGATCCCTCCTGAGTGCGTTGGCATGGTGACAGAGGTCAGAGGGTTCACTGACCTCCAGAAAGAGAAGTACTTCAGGAAGAGGTTCAGAGATGAGGAGCAGGCCAGCAGGATAATCTCTCACATCAAGACCTCACGAAGCCTCCACATCATGTGCCACATCCCAGTCTTCTGCTGGATCACTGCTGGAGTTCTGAAGGAGGTGTTGATGACCAGAAAGAGAGGAAAGCTGCCCATGACCTTGACTGAGATGTACATCCACTTCCTGGTGGTTCAGTCCAAAGTGAAGATGGTCAAGTACGATGGAGGAGCTGAGACGGATCCACACTGGAGTCCAGAGAGCAGGAAGATGATTGAGTCTCTGGGAAAACTGGCCTTTGATCAGCTGCAGAAAGGCGACCCGATCTTCTATGAATCAGACCTGACTGAATGTGGCATCGATATCACAGCAGCCTCAGTGTACTCAGGAGTGATCACTCAGATCTTTAAAAAGAAGAAAGGACTGTACCAGGACAAGGTGTTCTGCTTCGTACATCTAAGTGTTCAGGAGTTTTTGGCTGCTCTTCATGTCCATCTGAACGTCATCAGCTCTGGGGTCAATCTGCAGTCATCAGAACTTGAAACAATGTCTCTCTACCAGAGTGCTGTGGACGAGGCCTTACAGAGTCCTAACAGACACCTGGACTTGTTTCTCCGCTTCCTTCTGGGTCTTTCACTGGAGACCAATCAGGCTCTTCTACGAGGTCTGCTGACACAGACAGGAAGTCGCTCACAGACCAATCCGGAGACAGTTCAGTACATTGAGGAGAAGATAAATGAAAATGTTTATCCAGAGAAAAGCATCAATCTTTTCCACTGTCTGAATGAACTGAAAGATGTCTCTCTAGTGGAGAAGATCCAACAGTCCTTTAGATCGGGATGTTTCTCCACAGATAAACTGTCTCCTGCTCAGTGGTCAGCTCTGGTCTTCATCTTACTGTCATCAGAAGAAGATCTAGAGGTGTTTGACCTGAAGAAATACTCTGCTTCAGAGGAGGCTCTTCTGGGGCTGCTGCCAGTGGTCAAAGCCTCCAACAAAGCTCTGTAAGTACAGAAAGAGTCTGATTCATCCATCATGACTCAAAACATGCTGCCATCTTTTCTACTTAGATTTTTTCTTCGTTGTTGTCTCTTCAGACTGAGTGGCTGTAAACTCTCAAAGAGAAGCTGTGAATCTCTTTCCTCAGTTCTCCGCTCCCAATCCTCTAGTCTGAGAGAGCTGGATCTCAGTAACAACAACCTGCAGGATTCAGGAGTAAAGCTTCTGTCTAGTGGACTGGAGAGTCCACACTGTCACCTAGAGACACTCAGGTCAGGATTTAATTAATGTCCACTTGGTGTCTTTATTTACATCAATGGTACATTCTGACATTCATAAGATTCTTCCCGCTTGCATGATTTAAACAGAATATGTATTTTTCCAAATATTTCCATTAACATTTTGTATAGTTTATTTTCTATATGTTACAAATAGAAATATTGGAGATCAATCATAGTTATCAGTAATGTTATCAGATTGTTGATGGACATTAGTGGGTGTTTCGTTGTGACTGGAAACCCGTCAGTGACCATGTTAATGTGACCCCATAGTACTCAACATTATCTCAGTCCTGCAGTGACCTTCCCTTTGTGTGTTTGCAGGCTGACAGGCTGTCTGATCACAGAGGAAGGCTGTGCTTCTCTGGCCTCGGCTCTGAGCTCCAACCCCTCCCATCTGAGAGAGCTGGATTTGAGCTACAATCATCCAGGATACTCAGGGGCGAAGCTGCTGTCTGCTGGACTGGAGGATCAACACTGGAGACTGGAGACTCTCAGGTATGAAGAGGCTGTAGCCACAGACCATCAGTCTGGTAGAGGAGGTCGAGCTGGAAACCTTTTCTCTGTCCCACTGTCAGCCTGGTTAATATGACCCGGACACACCAAGTTGACCTTAAACTACCAGAGACTCATCAAACTGTTTGAGTCCCACATGAGACCATCAATGCAGACTGAAGTAGTGAGGGACAGTAGCCAGGATGAGCCTAAACAGACATGAAGGTGATGAAGGCTTGTTTCTCTGGAGCCTTCTCTTGTTTCCACGTTATGAGAGAGGACAGTGGTGTATCCTAACACGTTGACGGCATCATGGTGGGTTGATATGAGTCAACGTTGTCGCACCTGGATGTTTAGATGCTGGTCATCTGCCTCCAGTGTGTGTTGTCCTTAAGTCCAGACATTCTTATTAAAAGGCAAACAGTCAGAAACAATCTGTTCAAACCGTCTTGATGGATCATCACAGCAGGAATGTTTGGTGTTCTAAATGAGTTCAGCTCTACCCGGTTTTGGTGCTTTGCACTGAGAGCCAGTTCCCTGGATGATAAGATTGGACTCACTACAGGTGACAGTCGGCCACAGACGCTCAGTGAAGAACCAACAGCTGATGGTGGACCTGGTGTGTCAGAGCTTGTTGTCACTGAACCACAAGTGGACAAAGAAACCACTTGATGAGGTTTAAACATTTGATTCACTGACTGCTGAAGGAAACTGAGTGAAATGGAAGATGATGGTCAGTATGATACTGATAATAATAGATGATGAATAAGTGAACATGATGAGCTGTGGTCATCAGCCAATCAGAAGAAGAAGAGGTGGTCCATGTGGACATGAAGGACAAAGCTGTGTGTGTGAGAGTGATGTAATGTCCATGTCTCCATGCTGCTCTGACCCCCCCCTCCTCCTTTCAGGGTGGAGCCTGCTGGAGTCCGATGGTTGAGACCAGGTCTGAGGAAGTGTAAGTGTGACATCACTCATTCATCTCTGTGATGTCATCATCAAAGTGTCAGTAGATGAACACATGATTAATAATTGCAGCTGTATTGTGTTTTGTTCTCTCATCAGATTCCTGTGAACTCACAATCGACACAAACACAGTAAACAGAAAACTCAAACTGTCTGACAACAACAGAAAGGTGACACGTGTGGAGGACGATCAGTCATATCCTGATCATCCAGACAGATTTGACCACAGGCCTCAGCTGCTGTGTAGAACTGGTCTGACTGGTCGCTGTTACTGGGAGGTTGAGTGGAGCGAATACGTTGATGTATCAGTGAGTTACAAAGGAATCACGAGGAAAGGAGACAGTGACGAGTTTTGGTTTGGATGCAATGATCATTCCTGGAGTCTGATGGGCTCTGATAAAGGTTACTGTGTTCGTCACAATAAGACAGAAACACTCATCACCTCCTCCTCCTCCTCCTCCTCTGGTAGAGTAGCAGTGTATGTGGACTGTCCTGCTGGCTCTCTGTCCTTCTACAGAGTCTCCTCCGACACACTGATCCACCTCCACACCTTCAACACCACATTCACTGAACCTCTTTATCCTGGGTTCTTGTTCTGGTCGGGTTCGGTTTCCTTAGTGTCTCTGTGTTCTCTGCAGGAGGGAGAGTCTCCTCCTGATGGAGAACCTTCCTCTCTGCTCACCACATAGTTCAGTCTGTGCAGCTGATGGTGGTTCATGTGGGTGTAGATGCAGGTGGTGCAAGTGAGGGGTACCTGAGCTGGTCTGGACTCTGGGGGGTCCACAGCTCTCTGGGACTTGTGGTGTTGCAGATGAAGTGTGAAGGAGCTCAGCGAGGTGTGTTTTAATGTTGCTGTGCTCGTTGCCTCTGTGGATGAATCAATCAATCAGCTTTTAGATGTTGGGTCCTAATTAGGGTTTAATATTAATCTTTGTGTCACAGTGTTCAAGAAGACATTTTATAAAAAGGTCTCTTGTCTGCCCCCCCACCCCTCAATATGAGATACATGGAGATATGTGCGTGTTCTTCATTAGCAGGTTTTTTAAGGATTGTTTGTAATGTTAAAAATAAGTAAAGTATGAACATGTGATTCTTTTTGAGCTGATTCTTTTACTTCAAATCTTTCTGAATATGTTCAGTTAAATCAAATATAATTTCACATAATCAGGTTTGTTCTGAACAAGAACCGTTTGAAAGCTTCAGCTGTTACTTTGGGTTAACAGGAATATAATTGTATGTTTCTAATGTTAATAAATGACTTTCATTGGAAACAACATGTGGTGCAGTGACTGATCCTGGCCAGCAGAGGGACGTCACCGATGTGATTAAACCAGTAAACACCACTCATATTCCCAACATGTATCACAGTGTGAATATAATAAAGACACAATAACACCAGTGCAGTGTGGTATGAATGTAAGTACTAGAATCCACTTGAATATCTACGGTAGAAATGTCACATGACCTTGTGTGTTATGATGAAGGTCACCAGGCTGCTGACCATCAGTGATGTCCTCAGCCTCTAAGGGACATTAGACATTTATCTGTTGGGGACAGAACATTGACTGAATGTTTCTGTTTTTGAAACATCTGAAGGAATTAAAACATCTTTACTGCAGCAGACGACTTCATTCACAGAGAATAGCAGCTATTGACAAAGGAAAGAAAGACGTGTGTGTGCGCGTGTGTGTGCGCGCGTTGGGGAGGTCAAAGGTCGGCACATTTCAGAGGTATGATGTCACAAGAGGGATGGGGGGTCACAGCTTTGAGATGGTTATAATGTGTCACCTGCTGTTATAAAGGAGGAGAAGCAATTTTCTCATTATTTTTACACATTTGTCCCTCTATGAATCATTTGACAAGTAGTTTTTATTGGTGTGTGTGTGTGTGTGTGTGTGTGTGTGTGTGTGTGTGTGTGTGTGTGTGTTGAACACATGGCCAGCAGGTGGCAGCAAAAGCTTGATCATAACTCACACACGCGCGGACTTTCATCATTATATCATCTAAACCAGGGGTCATCAACTAAAATGTGAAGAGGTCCAGTTAAAAAAAACATTCTAGAAGCAAAGGTCCATAATGTTCCTACTTAGTTTGATTAAATAGAGGAATCAGCTGTTTCATGTTGATATCTATTGGTCAAATATTCACAAATCACCTGCAGCGATCAGCTCACACAGCAAAATTGAAAAAAATGATCCAGATCGGCCTCACAATAGTTCAGACACACGTCCTGACACGTGGTGCCGGGACGTCACTCTGCCCTCCGTTGACCTTCAGAGCGACTCGCTGGACAATTTGAGAGGAACCACGTGATAAATGAGCTTCAATAAATGTCACTTATCTAAGATCACTTAATAAAAATGTTTTATTTCTTGAAAATGTGGAGAGTATAATGTTTCCTGTATAAATAGAAAAACAAACACTGAAGAAGCCCCCCCACGGGGAGAAAGCTGTGTTCTGGAGAGGCGTTCAGGGACCCAGCTGCTTGGCCTGATGCTCCTCGAGTCGAGGATTAAACAGAAAACAGAATCACAGGGGGAGTGGAAAGAGGGAGGGAATACGAAACACACACACACACACACACACACACACACACACACACACACACACACACACACACACACACACACACACACACACACACACACTCCTCGTCAGGAGGTAGACGTCGAAAGTTGAACAAAAGTTTTAGTTTCCATTTAAATAATGTCTCACACATAATATATTTACCTGGAGTTGAGAGCAGGGAAACATTCGTTTTCAGGTGAAAAAAAATACTGGCAATTTTGTCACGTTTCAAATGTGACTTTTTTCCAGACTTTAATAATTTATGGCATTTTTTGAATAATAAACACAGGGGAGAAGAATATTTAGCCGTAACCAGGCCACCTCAAAACTTGGTAATCACTTAAGATTAAATAAAATGTGGGGGGAAAAAACCCTTTCAAACATAATTCTCGATTAAGAGGAAGACTTAAGAGACCGAAAAGTTTGTAGAAATAGTAAGAAAGTTAGCCACTAAAAGTTCCTTTTTAATACTAACCCACTTATTTAACTTATTCACTGATTTATTAAAGTGTTTTAAAGGCTTTTTAAAAATAGAGTGTGTTGAAATATTTCAACAAAATCGTAAAAGAAATGCGGCTCCCAGCTGCTTTTAAAGCGTTTCTCTTTTTGCTGCAAATATATGAAAAGACGCAAACACAGCCGAAGTCTCTTTATTATTACTGAAGCTTCGTCTTCAGCTTCTCAGACAGATTTCACTCAGAGGCCTCAGAGGAGGCAGAACGACGCCACTGCTTCTTATTTACACACATTTTCTCTCAAATACTTTGAATGTTGCATACGATCCTTTAAACAGGTGAACACGACCTCGGAGGAACACCTGGAACACCTGGAGCCTCCTGCTGTTTTGGGAGAAAGTTTTTCATGTTTGGTGAGAGTGGGAAGAGATCAGTGAGGAGTTTAAATTAAATGTAGACCGTAAACGTCTGAAACCCGCCTATCAAGCCAACAACTCTGTAAATAAAGACAGACACGGGTAGTCAAATATATTTTGTCTCACAAAATCAGTTATCTTCAAAGAATTCAATGAAAATCAATCCCTCCGTCAACACAAAGCTGGCCAATAGCTCAACCTGAGTATTATTATAATACATCGTCCTGGTGATCATATTTAAGAGTTCAACATCCATACAATCTAATAAGAATAAATAACTGATGGAGATTCAATGGCTTTCAGTATTTAAAAGTCAATTATTCTTAATGTATCTGAAATAGAATTGTTGCACTAGGTTGCTATGATAGATATGTGTATATGTACACAATGAATTCATTACACACCTCAGTGAATGGAGGGTTTGTTTTCGCTTTGAAATGTTTCTATAAAAGGTCAATAAACAGAAATAAAAATGCTAATGAGTCTGTATAATTAGAGACGTTTAAGTCCCTTTAGGAATAATTCAGTAACATAAAACGTGTTATTGTTTTGGGAGATATTTTAGATGGAATAGTTCAGAGGCATCATGACGTAATTCTATCCAATAAAGAGGTTATTCGAGTTAGAAAGGTTTATTATTTATTCACAGTTGAACTTATATTATTTTTCTGTATAATAAGAGGCTCTAAGTAAATACAGTAACTCAAAGGCCTTTGGGCCGTTATTAACTTGCCGTTAACATTCTTTCAGCTGGACCCTGAACATCTGCCGTCGGCTCCGCATTCAATCCGTTAAACGGAGTTCACTTCCCGATAAGATTCCGGTTCGTCCCGCCGGGGTTCCTCCCTCTCAAAGCCCGCGGCAGCCGCTCTGTGGACCGGGGTGAAGCTCCGCGGAGGTCCCGGTCCCTCCCGACGCCGGACGGTCACCGGAGAGACGAAACGAGAAGAAAAAAAATGCTACCCTGCGCAGAGTACGTGAGGTGACGTCACCAGCAGGTCAGCAGGTGATTGGCTGTTGGACTGTTTACGCTTAACCGAAGAAGGTGCATTATGACTATTTAAATTAAAGTAATTAAATGAAGTCAAAACCATGAAGAAAATTTGGGAAATCAAGTTTCCTAAAGTTGTTTGGATAAACTTACGTTAATTAAACGAGTTTTAAAATATAAAAAACATTGAAACTGTGATTCAATTAATTGTTGTGACTGAACTAAAAGTTATGTTAATACATTAAAAAGAAAATTAAATGTGTTTAAATTGTGTTTTAGAACTAGTACAAGATATAAACGATCCATTTAAAGATTGACGTTGAAGTGAAGAAATATCTTACTTAAAAAAAAAAGTATTCTATTTCAGCGTAATTGATTCTCCTAAATGTGGTAAGGTATAAATGTCCGGATTATGAATATATTTCTTTAATTACAAAAACAAATTGGAAAAAAATGGATATAAAAACTATAGTTTTTATTAAGTTGAACTATTTTAGAACCGTTAACTTCGCAATAAGAACATTTGTTTAGGAGTTGATTTTCAGAAAAGACATCTTCAGGGTATTAAAACTGAAAAACCGACTTGACATAAAGGTTTCCAACATGCAAATAAAGTAAAGTTTTAATTTTTTACTGCTGCCAACATTATAATAATAAAGTGATTACTGTAAAAACCAGCTCACCGTTAATCATGTTTTTCTGTGCTTTAAAGAAGTAAATTCAGCAGAAAGTGAAGCTCAGAGAATTTAAACCAGCGTGTGCCTCCGCGGGTCAAAACCTCCACAGGAAAGTAGTTCGAGTGATTTCTCTCACCTCCGTGATGTCAGCCTCCTCTTGTCGGTGTCGCTCCGCCCCCCCTCCCCTCCTCCCATCCTCCCCCCACGCCCAGAGGGAGTCTCCAGTCCGGCGGGACAAGAGCAACTCGTCTCCTCCTCGCAGCTGATCAGGCGGACGTCTTTCAGGGAGGGGGACGCAGGCACAGAGCCGCCGGACAGACCCGGACCACAGCCAGCCGGACGCACGGGGGGGGTCCGCACCATGTCCTTCAGCCCGAAGCACTCCACCCCCTTCTCAGTCATCGACATCCTGAGCCCGATGGAGGACAGCTACCGCAGGTTCGGAGGCATGGATCCCGCCGCGGGGGGCATCGGGTCCCACATGGGCGCCTACCGGCAGCCGCAGGTCTCCCAGCCCGGTACGCAGCAGCACCACCCGGCGCAGCAGCAGCTTCATCTCCATCACCACCACCTGTCCTCCGCCTCTTCATCCCCATCCTCCTCTTCCTCAGCAGCAGCAGCCGCCCTGGGACCCGGAGGGCCCTACCAGCACCACCACGGGCCCCACGGGGTGCCGCAGTTCTCCGGGGCCGTCGGAGGTTTCTGCAACAGCGGGCTCGGGAACGTCGGAGAGCTGCCGTCCTACCAGGAGACGGTGAGGGGCGGAGGGGCCCCAGCGGCGTGGTACAGAGACCCGGAGCCCAGATACCCGACATGTAAGAGGCTTCAATTAAAAGTTTGGGTTTTAATGTGTGAGAAGTTTAAAATGAATTACTTTTTGAAGCCCTTAATTTCTAAATTTATCTGCCCCCATCAAGACTTCAAACGGTCGTTTTCAGAAACCAGTTTAGGCTCTAAAACACTTTAATATTAAAGTCTAAATGAATAAACGGCTAAACGAATAATCTGGATTCAATAACAGCATTTTTAATCATCAAAGTAACTACAATCCACATTCATGTAAATAGTTTAACTCTTAAAGATTTATACAACAGTTAATAGCTCATATTTTCGCTTGGATAACCGATTTAAAATCAAGTATTGGTACATTTATAGAATTAAAAGCAAAACGTTTAATCGTTTCAGCAAATTATTTTGGGTATATTTAATATTGGTGTATTTCTAAGGATTCATCAAGTATGTAATGTTTGCTGAATTTAATACATACTTATGTTAAATGAATAATATATTATAAATTAGAGAGTTTTGCCTCTTTGTTTTATCCAAACGTCTGTTAAGTTTCCAGATTCATGGGCCCCTCCTCCGGGATGAACATGACCGGGATGGACTCCACCGTCAAGTCCATGGTGACGCTGCACGCGGCCCCGCGGAGGAAGCGGCGCGTGCTCTTCTCGCAGGCGCAGGTGTACGAGCTCGAGCGGCGCTTCAAGCAGCAGAAGTACCTGTCCGCCCCGGAGCGGGAGCACCTGGCCGGGATGATCCACCTCAGCCCGAACCAGGTCAAGATCTGGTTCCAGAACCACCGCTACAAGCTGAAGCGGCAGGCCAAGGACAAGCAGCCGCTGCAGCAGGACGCAGGTGGAGGCCTGTGCGCCACGACCCGCCGCTGCGCCTCCGTGTCCCCGGTCCTCCCCAAGAACGCCAAGGCCTGCCGGATTGACTTCGGCGGCGGCTCCGACCTGACGGGAAACCGTCAGAGCGGCTCGGGGGAGGTCATGGCGGTGACCCCCGCTCAGCAGCAGGTGAACCAGCTGTCCTCCACCGAAGACCTGGACGACTTGTCCCCGAGTCCCCCGCTGGGACTACACGGTCACATCAACATGACGCAGACGGACGCGGCGCTAATAGAGTACACGAACAGCGTGATCGGCTCCGATCTGCTGTACGGGAGGACTTGGTAGGAAGTGGGGAGGGTGGAGGGGGGTACGGGGAACTCATTACAGGTTGGATTTTGTATTTTTAGAAGAACCGGCTGGAGGACAAAACCAAGCACCAACTTTTTATTCCTTCCCGTGCGTAAAGTTCTGGTTCCTTTACGCACGCAGGACTCAAAAGGACACTGCGGGATTTTGAGCAACACGGTGCGGACATGAAACTCCACATTAAATCCTGCTCGAAATGTATTCTCTTCTAAACGAAACACTGGTCTTTTTTTATACAGATGTGACTGCAGGTGCGTTCGAAACCGTGAAATCTCACGCGAGGTATATTAAGGATGAGGCACGCGCACCGTGCTTCCAGTCATGCGCACCGCTAATTAAATAAATCCAGGTTTCATAAATGAAGTCAACAGAACGTGAAGCAATAGTGTGCAGCAGTTTCTCCGTTTGGATTTAAACGAATTGAATTTTTTTCATTGGAAGTAAATCAGTGAAAATTCTTCACAACGTCTTTCCAGAATTAAATATTTTCATTTTGCACTTAAATGCTTTGTTTTTTTGTTGAGTCTGAAGCATTTATACAGTCGCTTTTAAATGAACAATTATGGGACGATTATTTACAGACTGAATATAAACTAAAAATACCGCAGAACAATATAATTTCGAAAATACATATTGTGTCATTAGTGGGCGTTATTAAAAACCTGTTTAATTTAAGTAGAATTCAGGTGTCATGTTCTTTATGGAATCTTTACCGTAAAAAAAAATATATAATCCCAACATCACGACAATTTTTTTTATTTCACATGTCTTTCTGAACACTTAAAAGAGGTTGGTCCGAAAAATAAACACAGCGGATACTTTGTACTTGACACACTTGTATTTTACAAGTTTTACAGGCCCTTTGCCTTTAAAGAAAAAAAGATGTCTCTCCAAAAATCACCTTCGCCGCCCCCCATGAAAGTCCAACATTACTGTGAGTTTAATTCCAGTTGTATCTTCTGGCTGGAGGAGCCGGGTAACCTCTGCCAGAGCTGTAGCCCTGAAACAAAAACATTATTAAAGTTAAACTAATTAAATCTATTTACAGATATCCTTACTCATTTAAATGTAATTCAGCTCATTTAGCTTATGAAACAGGGATTTGACATTTGTATTAAAAAAAAATATAATTTTTCTTTTTCAAATGGATTAAAAAAATAATACAATTTGTTGATCCTTTATCCAAGCAGACATATTCCATTACAATACCTTTCTCTTAAACCAAAGAATTAAATAAAAGATTCCTTAATCTAAAAACAAGTCTGGTTTCATGTTTACAGAAAACATGAACCAAAAAAAAAAAAAAATACACCCAAACATGCTTTGGTAAGAAGAAATCAAATTTAATTATGGGCACAACAATGTTAAACCTCTTACTGGGAATTCAATTTCTTTTATTTAGTCATTGGTTGTTTATCTAAAGCCACTTTTGAGATTACTGGTTGACAGCCTGCGAGTGTGTTGCTTTAAATTCAGTTTCTTATCTTTGAAGATTCTAAATTTAAATCTTAATGAGTAACAGCAGAAACTATAAAAAAGGTTCTTTGCTCTGCTTCAAACAATTCATCTGTAAACATATATCTGTTTACAGAGGAAGTATTGTTTTAAAGTAAAAATAAGCTTCATGTCTTTTATAAAAAAAAAACAGTAAATTGTTGAAAAATTGAACGGTCATTTAAAAAGGACTTTAAATTGGGAACTGAGAGTTCTGCTTCAGCGTCGGGAGCCAATCCGGTGGTTCTGCCTTCATAACATCACAAATTCCAAACTTCAGCACTTTGCAAAAGTTTTTAATCACGCACCCGTTTGAAGATGAAACTGACTCCGCCAACAGCTGGCTACCCACGGTAAATTATGATATTGATTTGATTACTCAATTAATATTTCAAACATAAGAGTTTGAACCAGACCAGAAAATAAAGTTGTCGTTTGACATAAAACAGAACAAAGGGATTTAACTGATGAACCAGAATACAAAAAAAAAAAAAAAAAACATCTGCCACCATCAACCACAAGCCGTCTCTATGGAAACAGAGCGCCGCTCCTACCTGGTGCCCCCGGTTGTTGGGGTGATCTCGCCACTCCTCCCTGCGGCTATCGAACTGCTGCTGGTAGCCGCCCCCCGAGGAAGCAGCCGGCGGCGCCCCCCCACGGCTGGCGTTCTGCTGGTACGCCGACTGCTGCGACTGCGCGGCCCGATTCCAACCGTGTCCGCCGCGGCCGTACGACTGCTGCTCTCTGGAGACAACCGGACCAAAAGCTGATTAACGACTGTAATCAATGCAGATGTTAGGAGGACTTCCTGTGTCTCAGGGACAGGAGAGGAAGAAGAAAACATCCCGACAAATCTGTCAAAGCTAAATAACTGACTCTCAGACAGAAGACGACATTTCATTTCAAGTGTTGTGCTTTAATTTCATTAACGAGCGAGCTTTTACTTTGAAAAGGCCTCACGTTATTAAGATAAACAGAAGTAAAGGATGGTTTTTTTAGTTTGATGTTCGACAAATAAAAGATCTAAACACTAAAGAGTAAACAGAACAATCACCATCTTTTATCTCAGTTCACAGAAACCCGGAATCTCTGGATTTGGCTTAAATTATCGTCAGTTAACAAAACTAAATAGTTTGAGTGAGAATAAGTTATGAAAGTTTGACCGAGTACAGACCCCCCCCCCCTGTTTATCGCGGGGAGGGGGGGTGTCGCTCAAATAAGAAACATCAATGTAACAGTGATATTAAAAGTCTCCTCTTGCAACAAAGAGGGAACTTCTCTTCCCTCTTCCCCCCCCATCCCTCATTACTGAACCATGTCACACTCCGGCCAGCGCCGGACTTAACCGGTAATCCCCCCCCCCCCTCCAAGTTCCTCCCATTTGGCCCGGTCCCGACTAGCTAAAGAAACTGTTTTCAGTGGGCGCTAATAACCACTGACCCGGGGGGGACCAGCAGCCACAATGGGCCTGTAGAGTTGAACCTGATTAGGGAGGGGGGGCGGAATCAGCCCCCCAACAGCATTAGTGATGCCTCATTAAGCTGCACAAACCTCCTTCAGACAAATTTGTTTTAGCGCGACAGAGAACTCCCCCCCCCCCCCCAATGACGGAGTAGAACCTGCTGCGATGGACACGAACCAAACCAGAGCCGTTTAAATGAGACTAAATACTATTTGAGCTGAAAGGACGGAAGAGAAGCGGTGGACTCACCTGGGGGGGTACTGGGGCTGCTGGAAGGAGCTGCTGTTCCGGGAATCTACGAGGACAGAAGACGTTCAAGTTTACAACTTACAAGAACTTAATTTGTTCCAGCAGGAAGGAAGATCAATGTATTGATATGCAAATGAGGCAGGTTGATTTAAGAGAAATCTACAGATGCAAAAATCAATAAAACCCAGACAATATACAACTTAAATCATAAAATCAAACTTTAATCTAGGAGTTCTGATAGAGAAACATTCACTTCAGATTTGATTTGAGTTCATGTTTTATGTTGAAACCTGAACACTAATTAACAACAAGTCAGCGTTCACCTTCAAGACTTCATAAAGAACGACTATTTCATGTCACACAGCGGATCAGTGGTCATGATAAACCGGGTGGAGGGTGTGTGTGTGTGTGTGTGTGTGTGCGGGGGGGGGGGGGGGGGGGGGGGGGGTGGACGCATTCAGGCCGGCAGCATTGTGGACGCCTCGAGCACTCGGGTCCATCGCTGCGAGCGCTTCACAAAGACACTTAAACATAAAATGGGAGCCAGCGGCTTCTTCCAGATCCACCGTTGCCACGGCGACGACCAGCTGCGAGCCGTGTGTGTGTGTGTGTGTGAGAGAGAGAGAGGCCTCCGGGTGAGTGAGGTACTTCTACAGTGTTTTATTACAACGAATCACAGTACTGCGTGGACGTACTTTATAAACATGAAATCATCCATATTAAGTGTTTGCTATATTTGGAAGGCTGTGATGTAGAACTCATCCCCACAAAGCCGGTGATTCCACCTCAGAACTATTCAACCCGCCTTCACACACACACACACACACACACACACACACACACACACACACACACACACACACACACACACACACACACACACACACACACACACACCGAAGTCAGGAAATTAAACCATCGAGAGATAATCGCGTGTGCTTTTAGTTCATTGTTAAAGATATTACAGGTTTTATTGAGGATCATTAGTCTTCAAGGACCGAGCTGAGCAAAGACTTAAACTGGAAAAGAGACGTCCACTGCAGAGAGTTGATCCTTTAATAACTTCATTCTCTTAAATAGCACAAGATTCTATACTTTCTAGAAGTCACTGATCCCTCGTGTGCTTTTGTATGATATAAAAATCATTTTTAATACGTTAATGTCTCCAATGTTGATTGTTTAGTTTTAAGTGGATGAAGGAATGTGACTGACGGGTTTATTCTCTACAAAGCATCATGAACACGTTCACATGCTTCGGACTCAGACTTATCCCATTAAACGCTGTCCACGTCCCGTTAGCTTAGCATGCTAACACGCTGAACTAACAACAAACTTTAAGCATGTTAGCATGCTGATGTTAGCATTTAGCTCACAGCACCTTGAAACGAGAGCATGAAGTTTCAGTTTGTGGATTTATATCAACTAGTTAAAATGTCACTGCTGGTCTTAAAGGGTATTTAGTCTGAGGAACATCTAAGCACCGTAAAGACTCAAAAAAAGACTCATTCAAATGGGAGAAAACACAAAATAATCTAGTTTGAAGGAAATAATCCGGCGGCTCTCAGCTGCTGAAACCAAAAGTAAAACAATTAGCAGCCAGACGGCTCCCGACATCCTCATTCCCTTTCTATGTTTGATTATCTCCTCCGACAACGAACTCTAAGTGGACCACCCAGTCGGCTCCAATTATAACTCTGACACTCTGCTCTTCTGTCCCCACGGCCTCGGATCACGAGTGGACACCTGTCAATCCGCTTAATTAACTGTGTGTGTGTGTGTGTGTGTGTGTGTGTGTGGACCTCCAGCCTGAGCCAACAAAGGATTACGCTCTAAATCCTCAAAACATGCTGCGACACTGTATTAATGCTGGGGGGGGGGGGGGGGGGGGGGATTAAACAGGCGCAAAAAACAAAAACGTCTCTCTCGCCTCTTTTTCATGGGTTTCGCCGCCATTTGACTCAGCGAGAAGAAGAGGAGCAGGAACAAAGACCACCGAAGCTTTTGGGATCCGTGAAGCAGGAAGAATGATGCATCCATATCCACACAAACGCACACAGGGAAACGCTGCACACATCCAGCATCGTTCTGCTCTCTGACAACGACGGGGGACAAATCCTCGAATGACCTTTGACCTCCAGCAAAAGTTTCGGTTCCCTTTAGAAGCTGCAGAAACCAGACGAAGCCTGTGAGGTTGTCCTGATGTTTTGCTCTGCCGGTGGGGGGGTTTTGGGGGCTCACGCAGCCAGAGCAGCCATTATGTGCAGTTGTTATCCTGAAGTGGTTTTGGGAGTCTGGAGGATTATCGGATCGCCGGACCAATCCGTTACTTTGCTGCCCCCCCCCCCCCCCCTCCCTGTTAAAATTTGGTGTCACTGCATGTCAAAGGCAATAATGGCCCCCCAGCAGAGACTCCCCGGCTGGTTATTAAATGGCACACAAAGCCCCCCCGCCGCGGCGTGTTGACACATCCCAGCAGGAGGTAGTGGAGAGTTAACTTTGGTTTCAACCCTCTTCACAGCGCATCACACGGGATGCTTTTATCGGGGGGGGGGGGGGCTGGGGGGCACCATGTCCAGCAGAGCCACTCCAACAGTCTCATTACTTCAGCTCTCACAACACTAATCAGCCAAACCCACCCCAACCAATATCACACAAAGCGCAGAGGCCGAGCAAGGAGGGGGGAGGGTCTTCACAGAAAAGACTCGTCATCCCCCAAAAAAAGTCTAAAGGTTTACAACTTTAAAAAGACAAAAATCTGCACGTCAAAAGCTCCGTATGATAATTCAAATATTCTTCAAAACAGACGCTTGACGGTTTCCAAAACGCAAAGGGTTACAACAAAGAATCATTAAAATAACTAATAATGATCATCAGGACAGGAAGAATGTTTTAAAGAGGAAAACATGGAGGTTTATGCTGAACATATTGGGACGACCATAATAAGTAGGGTTTTAATAATACTCATTCTGCATTGTTGAGCACCAGGCGGACAAACCACTCAAAGGGTTAAAGGTCATTTACGACCTTTGAAGTGTCAAAATTAGGATTATGTTAAGAGCTTTTTAAAACGAAATAGTTCACCAATATACATTATGTAAGTAGAAATCTGTAGCAACCGTCAGTTCTTTAAAGTGAAGCCAAAGCGTCACGTGTTAAAGCGGCATTCTCTGTAGTGACCAGCAGGGGGCGACTCCTCTGGTCCCATAGACGTCTATGAGATGTATTCCCTCGGTAAACATTGTAAACATGAATTTATGGTCTGAATCTAGTTTAAACACAGCATGATGTTCATTTAGACCATAAACAGGGGACGCTTTGGGGCGGGGCTACACGCTGATTGACAGGTCTCTACGTCCTCACCAGACACATGTCCCTCAGGACTCGGAGTGTTGTGGTGAGTGTTTCTTACGTTGGAAGGTCTCGTGGCCCCCGCTGCGTGCAGACCGGTAGTTTCCCCGTTGGTACATGTTGGGGGGGGGCGCGTTGCTGTACTGTCCTCCGCCACGGCTCCGGTTCACGCTGTGCCTGAAGGAGGAAGAGGAGAAGGTGTGCTGTGGTATTTCAACGCCTCACAGAAGGTTCTCAAACAGGAAGTCAGTCTCATCGGGGAACCTGAAGCCGATGACGTCACCTTGAGGACCAGCTGGTAGAATCCAACAACGGGATCCAGATCTGCTACTGTGGATCATCAATACGTTTCAGACGCTACGAAGGAGCGAACGATCTCATGATCCGTTTACAGTCACAGACTTCTGTGTGAATCATGATCCCAGTGTGACGCGAGAAGGCCGGCGGTTTGATTCTTTGGGCAACGCTTTAATCCCAAATAAACAGCAGCATGTAACGGAGGCTCGTTTTCCCTCTAGGCTGCTACTCAATAACAAACATGACAAAGGCGCGTGTGTCCTTTATTCCTGGAGACGTTTTAAAGTCAAAGAAACGCCCTTTTTGGTAATATTTCTGCTTCTTCTGAGCAGCTGCCGGTTTCAACCTTCGAGTCACATAACCGCCGGAATTACTGAATTAACGACTTAGTTAAGCAGAAAAAAAATTGGAATACATTTGGTTCCTTCAAATCCGTGCATAATGAATTCCACAGTCGGACCAACCAGATGTTCAATTATTCACATTTCCTTGATGATAATAACGTGAGGAGGAGAGAGCTTAGATCATAATCAAGGATGGCTGCTTAATGGGGAGCCTCGGACACATTTTAAATTTTAAACCGGGCGTGTTGAGTCGCTGCAGAATCAGCAGACATCGTTGACAGGCAGCTGTGAGGCGACCGGCTCGCACACGAAATGCTCAAACTACTGAGATCAGCTCTCTGGAAGTTATGGACGACAACTACTACTACTTTAGAAACTTAAAACTACTCCGCTAAACTACGACCGACTCAGCTGCTGCTCATTGGTCGGGATATTAAACACCAGCAGTCGGTGCCGGTTTGAGCTCCAAAAACAAGCTGCGGGATTATAAACCTTCGAGGTGACTTTAGGCTGAGAACCTCTCACATAGTTGATGCTCTTTAGAGGTTGTTTTTCCTGTAGCTTCTAACCAACGAGCTTCAGGAAGCACAACTCACCCCAGAGCCCTGAAGCCCGACTGGTCCAGGTGGGCCTGCTGCCGGTGCTGGTTGAAGCCCAGCTGCGGCCTCCACGGCTCCCGGTTTCCCTTCTCCCAGTCCCCCGGCTTCAGCACCTTGTTGGGCATCCTGAGCAAGAGAAGACAAAGTCAGAGCTTCTCTTTGAGGACTAAAGTGAGAATAACCTGCAGGAACAAACAAATCAATGGATCCTGTTCGTCTATCGTGTCCATCATTGACAATCATTTTCTCTCTCAGTTATCTAGTTAAGGACAGACTGGTTTCAGTAGCACTTCATGTTTTCACTCTCGTAGTTTTTATTCTATTTGACTCATTGTTATTCATATTCCATGTTGAATTACTCTACATTAATAATCGTTTTATTTTTGTTCCTATCGTTCTTTTTTGCTACTCTAATGTTTTCTCTTAAGACAGCAAGCAGGAAATGTGTCATGCAAATGGAGTTATTCTAATTGTTACGTGATGAAACAAACTGCAAATGTCCTTTTTAACAAGAGGTGATGGTTTGTTCGGTATATGATTTACAAACATGAGCTGCACAATATACACAAAAACCTGAAAAGGAGGCTTGATATTCACTCATGCAGTTTGACAAAAGGAAAATAATTCTCACTTGGCTCCAGGAAGCAGAACCGCCTTGAACACAAAGTCGCTGGCAAAGTGAGGATCTTTGAACTTCACCCTGAAGAGAAGAAGAAATCAGTTTCAAGTAAAGATCAAAGAGAGAAGCGTTCCTTTAGCTCGCTTTAGCTTTCTTCTGGTTTGAAGCTCGGCTGGACGCGTCTCCATGAAAAGGGCAAGACAACAAAAAGTTTAACATGACTGTGGGCGGATGGCGTTAGTAATCCAAGTAATCCATGGATCTAATAAGAAAATGAGTCATTGAACGATGGTGAAGTCGAATAATCCCTCTCTGATTAGATATATACACATACATTCATCCCTCTATATGTACCTTTACATCCCCTCTGACTTAGTAATTTACATCCGGGTCTCTTTGTTCCAGACTAATGATCAGAGCTCAAAGAAGCGTACAAATATCAGTGTACTTCTGTATCAGTGCAGGAAGAGGACCGGCCGGCCTCTTTTCCTTTGGATCAAGTCACAGGCGGTCGGTTTCTTACCCGATGGCGTGGTTCTGTGTGATGTCCCGCAGCGTGGGGATGGGGGACGCCACCGGCCTGCGAGACAAACGACACAACGAGTGAGTGAACCATCAGAACACGGAGCAGAGGAAAGAAAAGCAGGCGTTTCCTTACTTATCTGGCAGAATTGGGTCGTCATCAAGATTTAATGTTCCTTGGATTCCATGGCAGAGCTCTGCAGGGATCTCAGTGCCCTGAAGGAGGAGTCAGCGTTCAGTCGACATTACAGACTTGTTACTTACAGGGAAACCAGCTCTAAACGAGTCAAACAATCGCAATGTTGATTCAAAGATCGCTAAAAAAATATCAGTAGGTTAGTATAGTACTTGTATAAATGTACTTCCAGGTAGCATAAAGACTACATTTCCCATCAGCCCCTCTGGTTGCTTCCTGTGTTCTAACGTAAAGGTAAAACAGAAAGCTCCTCGGTAGAGTTGAGGTGGAGGAGTTGTGTGTTTTGTCACCTCTTGAGACTCGGTGCGGTAAAGCTCGTGGATGAAGTCGGAGAGCGGATGAGACTTCTGGAGAAACATCATGTCGCTGCCGAGGCTGTTCCTCCTCACTGCGGCAGAGCAAACGCACAGAAACGCGGCGGTTACTGGGCGGACCGCGGCGATAAAACGGGCTTCGGATAGAGAAGACTGGATACTCCAGAGAGAGTGTGTGGTTGTTGCTCACCCTCCTCGGGTGTGAGGTCGGAGTAAACTTCCGCCAGAGACGCCCTCAGTCGAGCTTCGTCCACAAAAGGCAAGAGGGCAACGCCTTCAAAATAAGAGCACACATAGTGGAACTTAACATCTTTGTGTGCCACAATCGGGTCATCAGGAAAAGTTGGCTCAACTTCTTTAGGATCGATGAGTCAGACGGCATCTTGTGTGACCACAGCTTTGCCCTCACTGCATTATAGTTATACATATAATACATTCCTGCTGATGGATCACTCAGAATGACACGCTGGCCCTTTAAGAGTGGGGCGGTGACTCACCCTGCCAGGCGTATTTCTTGCCATTGAGATCAATGGCGAAGTCGTCGGGGTAGAAGTCGATGATGGCGGAATCCTGCGTGGAAAGAAGTAGTGTGAAACGTGACCACCTGTCAATCTATTGCACCACCTGATCGCTCCGCACCGCCTCCTCCACCAGACGCTCACCGGGCTGCTCATGAGGTTCCGCCATGTGGTCGGCAGGAAGTTGCCGCTGGCGGCAGGAAACACTCCCATCAGCTGCTCCAGAGGCTTGAACTGCCCACGACAACAATAAGGAGTTATTTACACCGTTTACATGTCATTTTTATTTGACATCTCAACAACTTTCCCTCCGTTCTCACCGGTTTGGTGTCCTTCTCGAAGTCCGTGAACATCCCTTTGAGGTCTTTGAAGTCGGAGGCGAACGGAGCGTAGTGGAACGGGAAGTACCACTTCCAGGAGGCGCAGCCCTGCAGATCCGAGTGGGACAAACAAACATGTCAGCGAACATTTATCCTCATCGGGGAATCGATCTGTGGATTTAGTTCTAGTCATTGAGGTTTGAATAAATATTTAAATGATTAATTACACTTTACTATCAGTAGCTGCACTGGTTTACTTTACCAGTCGTTTGTACTTATTTTAATGATAGCGTCTGAACGGGACTAATGCTAAGCTAACGCCGTGAAAAACACTGTAGTTACTAAAAGCTTTTCTTTGCCCTTCTCCCCAGCCTAAAAAGATTTAAATCAAATCTGACCAGACTACGGTGACATTTAAAAACCTCCACGAGGCTGAATCCTGATCAGAAGGAGTTGAGAAGTGAAACCAACTTTCAAACTTTAATGTCAAACATCTTTAAATACAGAAGATTACAAAATACTAATTACAATAATAATATTATTATTATTATTATTAATAAAAATAAAGGGAGGTCGTTCACGTCCCACAATGCACCTGCAATGAATCCACCTTTACGAGACGCTCGTTCACATAATACAAGGCCTTCAGAATAAAAGCTTGATTTCCTGCATGAAACAATCTCACGGAACGTCGATGTTAAAGCGACTAAATGTTTCACCTGAAAGAGAAAAGTCCCTCGTGGCCTTTGTCTGCAAGGTCAAAGGACCACAAAGCACGACGAGAATAAATACATTTATGGTCCCTTGCAACAAAGAAAAGCTTCTGTTGTATCTGTTTGCATTACACTGCAGCTGATCAATAATTTGGTTAAAGATGAATTATCCTTCTGATTGATGGTTAAGTCAATTTGACACAAATGCCCAAAATAGAAATATATACTATTCCGTACTGGTTAATTAAAGTGAATGGCCTTTAAAAAACAAACACGCATCATTAATCAGCATCATTGAAAGTTGCAGATTCAAGACTTTTACTGATCTTTTACATGGTTTTTACACCATTTCAAAATCAGATTTGATCTAAACAAGTTATTATTAACGTTTAATAGATCAAATGAGGAATAATATATTGATATATTCATTTGAAACCGTTTTTCTGTCACATATGAAAGTGACAGAGTTTATTTGGTTCATCTTGTGTTATATAGAATATATTCATGCACGGGTAGTGAAATGATTAAAGACGCCTCAGTGGAATGAAAACATCGCTGCACCGAAAATTAAAAATGAATAATGTTAAAGCTTCATGGAGGTGGATTTTACTTCGGGGCCGTTGCGTTCGAGTTCATTATAATAAATTAGGAGGCCCCAATAACTATTTAAATAAATACAACTTTGCCAACATACAGTATATCAAAAGAAAGTGATGATTTGGGATGGGGGGGGTTAGGAATCTTTGTAATAATAAATAATTCAATAATTCAGATTTGAAAACTGCTCTTATTCAGATTATTCAGAATTGTTAAAAACATCCGCCTCTCCACTACACCAAATTTGCACTCAGGAACGCCGTCGCCTTCTTGAATCCTCCGTGTTCCGGCTCGGCTGCGTGACCGTAACCCCCCCTCCCTTCCCACTAATCAATTCCTCCAGAAGGGCCCCGTGAGGGCTTTGGCTGGGAGGACATGAGGAGTCGACACAGAGCTGTGCATATAGACAGCTCACAATAAGCACCCCCCCCCCCCAGAGCCCCTGAAGAGCCTGCAGCTGATTGCCTCACTTCCAGATTAAAGATAAATATTTTACAATAGAAGACAATAATTGCATGGCAAACAATGAGTACTTCAAGCCATCAAGACGATTTAATCTGGTTTAGTTCAATGAAAACAAGCAGGGTCGTTATTTAAAATCTCTCTTCATGGCTTTAAGTTTTTAACTTTTCATTTGGACATTTGAGCTTTTATCCGGATGACACTGAATTCTATTAAGAGCGGAATCTTCGGCTTTCCTCCAATTTCCCCGCCTGTGTACATCGTTTTAAAAGAAACTGCTTCTAAAGTTCACGAGGTCCTATTAGGGATGTGGACAGATGTTCGTGTGTAACAGCCTTCAGCTGGTCTACAGGTGAAGACGTTACCTGGTAGTAGTAGCGCAGCACCCAGCAGAGACCCTCCACGTAGGAGCGCACCACCTTCTTCCTGAAGTCCTCGTCAGACACGTCCACGTCGAACTTGTTCTTGAAGTACCTCTGCTTCCAGCCGTCCTCCCACAGCCTGCCGGCACAGAGCAGTTCTCTTTAGGGAGAAACGCACCACCTTCTCACCCGGAAGTCAATACTACGATTACAGCCGCCGCTGAATTGAATGATTCAACCTTTTATATGTGGAGTAAAATGATTGATTAAAGCACAAATTAAGCAAAAGTCCGTAGTTAACGGTCGTCATCATCAACAACTTTTCACAAAACGTAAATTTGGTAAATTCAGGGTCAAGTGTTTATTTGTTCTTCCTTCTGGAGGTCACAAAGCAGCACGTTGGTCCCCACACGAACAATATTTACATCATAATATTGATACGCCGTCCTGTTCATCACACGTCTTCTGCTGCTTATGACCTTTATACGTTGGATGAGACGATCACTCGATAAACGACGCGTTTGCTTATTAAAATCTATACGCTGAAGGAGCAGAAACAAAGCTGCAGCTGGACCAGTTTAACGGCTTTGACTCCTCGGTAGATTCGGGCCGCTCTGCACATCTAATGGAGGCCGAGCATCTGCTGCCGGATCCAGGGAGCCGCCATGAATACCAATTTAACCACAAGGATTTAGCGGCTTGGACAAGTGAGTCACAGAGGAATTTACTGGAATATTCCTGCTTTCCATATTAATCACGCGCAGAGGCAAAGTGGACGCTGACACTGTGTGTGTTTGTGTGTGTGTGTGTGTGTATGTGATTAATGAGCGATTCTCTCTGGTGGAGATCTCGGCTCGTCTGAACACTCGGCCTGGTGGACATCTGTACTGCACATAAACCAAAGTGTCTAAATGGTTTAGTTTTGACTCAACATTAAAGCTTTGAGCAAAATAAATAATTATTCCAGACTTTAAAAAAAAGTGGGGGGGGGGGGGGGGGGGTTTAAAATCTTTGGCCGTCATGTTATTTTTGGAACTAGAGACAGAGACCATAAACTCACGTTTACAATGTTTACTGAGGGAATAAATGAAGAGTCATTTTCTCATTTTCTACCTGACGTTGTCTTCAGGCTCCGGCTCGCTGTCGCTGTCCTCAGCCTTCCTCTTCATCCCTCGGCCGTCTGCTCCGCCGCTCGGTCCTGCAGACGACTGGACGACAAACCGCAGGAGAAAGTAGAAAACGAAAACTCGTACGTTAGAGCCCAACAAACGTAACGTCTTCACATGTCACTTTTATTTCAAATGTAGGGCCGTAAAAGATGGTTTAAAAGTTACAATTTATTTTTAAAGGGGATACATACAATTATTATTAATTAAATTCATTTTTCAATGTGGTTGAATAAATGTAACATACATTTATAAAACCACAATACCTGAAATCTATTGGTTTCCCCATCTATATTTATACCTGTATTCATTTAAAAAAAAAAAAAGCCAATTAATTGAGAAGTGAATTTTTATCCGACAGATTTTTAGTCACAAGTAAAATAGGAGAAAATCCTCCGAACTGAAGCTGGAATCAGTTTTGCTGAGTGACAAAAAATGATTTATGTACAAAACAAAAAAAAGTTCAACTTTAAACATTTTACATTTGGCAGACGGACGACGATTTAAAAAAAATATTTATTCCACAAAGGAATAGAGCATAAAAAGGTAGAATATGAAACTGTCGCCCCTCCACCGGTGTTTTGTTTAAATGAAACCAATAGAAATCTTTCCCAAAGCCTTTGTGCCATTCCTTATTCATGTGCTAATGTGGCCGCCTGTTGAATGGCGACATATTTAAAGGCGTACGTGGGCGGCAGAGAGCTGAAGGACGACAGAAACCTCCGTCCACAGATCAGGGAACGGCGCTTCAGCGTGAAGCTGTCCAGGGATTATTTAATATAACAAGGATGGATCATTTAACAACTGAGGGACACAAAGAAAACCTCGAGAGCAGAGAAGGGAAGTCGAGGTGAGAAACACGAGGAACTTTAACGCAGAGTTTAGCTGTTTAAGTGTAGGAGGTGTTTTCCACCTGCGTTACTAATTTGTGTGTCTGTAAATCTGAAATATTCAATCAAAAGAGGAGCAAATCAGAGTCCCCAGTCTTCAAAGAAAGCAACAAAGACAGCTTCCTGTCCTAATGTGTGTGACATCAAGGTAGAGGTTTAAATATCCAATCCAATATCCTAACTGTGCCTGATGGTGAACCTCTTAACCATCAACACCAGAGGAGGATTCTCATCTTTGTTTATTTCTTGATATTTAGTCATAAATTAGACCAGGACTCGACTGTTCACTGTCCGACGTGTTGTTTAATAAACGTATCAACGACGAGTCAAACCAACGCGCTTTATGTTTTTATTCATGTGCATTTAACTCACATTGCCACCGTTCTTTATGGAGGCCTTCAGGGACTGAGCAGCATCCTGGAGTAAAGAATGGACACTTCAGCATCTCCATGTTTGATAATAAATGTCCTCCATAGTTTATTACTATAACTAAATAAAAACACCAAAGTCTTGTTTGAAGTTCTCATTTTTAGACCTAGAACTCCATTTCCCAGAATTCCAGAGGGTGCATACCTTGTTGTGCTGCATCCGCATGTCGAAGGCCTGATGCCGGGCGTTCTCGACGGCCTCAGGTCGGCCCCTCCTCCCCAGGGCCTGCGGGGCGAACTGTCCCGTGGTCATGTAGGCGGGGCCTCGCTGGTCCTGCGCAGAGAAATAATCACAACACCGTCTGAGAGCGAAGAGGCGGTTTAATCACACAGATATAATCCATAAAGATTTGAGGACTTCTGATTATCAATGATTGTAAATTGTATATTAAAGTTCTTCTTGCGTTCATTTAATTCAAAATAATATTTTAAATAATAAAAATTAATGAATATTTCAATAATTAAATAAAAAAAGAATAAGGGTGAGAACCTAATAAATGCATTAAAGTAGTGAAAATGTTTCAGTATTTGGCAAACAAATATCCAGTGATCCCTAAAAACGTCAATATTGTCACAAATATGAAATACTGGTTTTGTTGTGTAAAAATATTTGAAGAACTACGCAAGTAATGCAAAGTACTAGTAGTTTTACTAGAAGATAAGAACACTGGTAACGTCAAAGCGTTTTTAAAAATGATCTCAGATTAACATCAAGCTGCAACAATGGAAAGTGTGATAGTAAAAATTAAGAAGTTATTAAATATTAGTTAAAATGCTAAAAAGACAAAATAAGCAGAGTTGTTGTCAGTGCTGCAGAGTCTCCGCTGGTATTAAAACTCACAGGAAGCAGCCTCGTGGTGGTCGTCATGATTTACTCACCTTCATCCTCTTTCTCTTCTCCTTCATCCTTCTCTTGAAGCCTTCCTAGAAAGAGGAAACAGGAAGTACAACGTGGTTCAAAGGTTTTGTCCAGCTATCACAGAACGTCATTCTGTGACTTCTACACAAAGACACAAGCCTCACGTCGTCCTCTTTGCGTTTCTTGAAGATGTTGTCCTCGGCGACGCCCACCGCCTGCATGATCAGCTCCACCCGCTCCAGGTTGACATAGCCGTTCTCCGTCAGGTAGCCCTGAAACAGTGTTGGGGGGGGGGGGGGGGGGAGTGTTAAAAAAAGATTCCCACAAGAGGGAAAACCGAAGGAAAGAAACTCGCTCAAAAACTCACTCCGGTTTTGTGCACAACGTCTTTGTAGATGTTGACCAGCCGATCGATGGCTCCCTCCCTGAGACACAAAGACAACCACAGCGGGGGACTTTTAACGCCAGGACGAGACAAGGAAGTAACTGGGGAGGGACATTCAACAGACACTCTTGAGCTTCATTGAAGGCCACATATCTGGATCTCTGCAGCTTCAAAATAAAGTATTCAGCAGTTTTCAGCTTAAAAAGGACTGAATCTCACCTGATCTCCAAGGACGGCAGGTGAGGCAGGAAGTCGTTCCCCACAAAGAAGCACATGAAGACCCAGTCGTCAATGCTCCTCTCAAAGTCGAAGGGAAACGGCAGGCTGTCCATGGTCAGCTCTCTGGCCAGATACTGGACACACATTGATAAAAAGCCACGAAAACCAGGAGAGTCAATTATTACGGTTACTCAATGACAAGTTTAAGACAGCTGGACTTTTTTAGAACAGCCTCTGTGTGTGTTGCTTATATCAGCCACTGTAGATGATAAACATCTCACCTCCCTCAGCACACACAGCCGGATGAATATGAACTCCTGCTCAGACACCGGCATCGAGTCAGCAAACTCATCGTGCTGAAAGAGAAAAAGAAAACCACGAGCAATTTCCGGTTAGAAAGCAAACGATGAAATAACAATTTGCCAATCTGACTGAAATAAATGTGTCATTGCCAAAGTAAAATCCATATCAGACGAATATACAACACGCAAAGAGCTCACCTGGCCCTGTTTCTCTCTCGCTGTCCCCTGGCAGTCTTTGATTTCATGACCCATCTGTCCGCAGAGCGCACAGGGGCGGGGCTTGTTGGGTTTAAACTCCTCCCTGATGATGGTGAAGTTTGGCTCGTGTGTGGCAAGGCCCAACATGATCAGATCAGCTGATCAATCAGACAGAAAGGAGGCCTTAAGTCAGTGTTTCATTCAACCGGTTCATTTCTTTCACACATTAGACAGATATGTGGAGGCTTACCGTCAGCTCCACACAGGCAGTGGTGCGTGTTGGGGTCGTGGTTTGGTTGAGCTGCCAAAGAGAATAACAAACGTCAGGCCAAATATTTTCAACAGTGTGTGTTGTTATTGTTATCTATCAGCATCGGTCAGCTGTACCCCTCTGTCTCCTGATGTAGTCCATGATCTTGTGTTCCCCTTCACCGGGAACACTGGCATCGGACAGGAAGACCTGGAGAAGAAAGTCGACTGATGCTTAAAGACTGAACAACTGATTTTAATGACATTTCTTGATTCTGCAAAATGCCCAAAACGAAGACGTGTACGGCTGTATTTTAACAGAGGTTTCCCCTCACCGTGACGTTCTTCCATCCCGGATCATTGCTGAGTCGGTCTGCGACGTAGTACCGAAGACACTGAGCCAGGTTATCCATGAACTCTGTTCCCTGGAGGCAAAGGAAGGCAAATTCTCGAATGAATATGTACACAACTTTATTTATGATTGGGGGATAAACCGGATGAGAACGCACCAACTGTTACAAGTAATAAATATAAAGACTGAACAGACTTACTGGTGTGATACAGTTGCTGTCAAATCTCTCTTTAATCTCATCAGGTGGAAGATAACCTCCTGTGAAAGAATAAACATGTTTATTAAAGACAATCACATAACAAATCTCCATAACCATCGAAGCGTTGAGTCCACACACACACCTCTTCCGAGGATCTCCTCCCTGATGCGATCCTTCTCTTCTACCAACTCCACGCCTTCCTTGGAGGCTCGAAACCGCCGAGAACGCTGCTGGTTCATCTTGGCCCGTGGAGCCTGGTGGAGGTAAACAGAAGGTTATTTCTACTTTGTCATCAGGCCATTTCATCTACCTACATTAATACAAATAACATTAGACTATTAGGAATATAAAAGGATGAATTAGAATATGATCAGGGAGGAGACTTCACAGGTCTGTGACAAACAAGCAGATCTGTAAGCAAAGCGAGCAAAGACATTTTTTATTACATAAAATAACTGGCAACTGTTTCACGCCTTTATTTGAATTTTTTCCAAACTTTCCTCTGGCTGCAGGTTCCCATCGCTGAGCGTTACTCACCACTCCATCGATGGCCATGTAGAGAACTCTCCGGGGACGGACAATGTTGAAGAGACGGTCGATGTACTCGAATATGGAGACCATCATCTCGTCCTCGTTTTTGGGAGCGGGCCTGTGGATCGATCAGTCTGATTAGAAACAAGGACCGATTACACAGTTGGTCCCAATAACAACTTATCTTATGACTGTTATTCAGAAGCACCGGGACATTTATTCAGTCTACGTTATGTCCCAAAAGCATTAAAAGTAATTAGAGGCCGAGGGGACATTTTCACGGTTCGCAACAAACCACTGAATCACAGAAACAAACAGGCTGACAGAGAGATTCCTACTTGTCCTCTGGATGTGTGCACGGGTGAATAATCCCGTTCATGTCCAAGTACAAATTGTCGAATTCCACCTCGTTGGGGTTCGGCTTGGTCGTATCGACAGGAATACGGACCCCTTTACATTCTTTACCCTGTGAGGAGAAAAAGACGAGTCAAAAAGAGAAGACGTTAAAAACCAGATTCACCCAGAACAACAATACGGCATCGCAAACATTTCTCCTTCACTAACAACGGATTTGAGACGTTACTATGATTTTATTTAAATCTCCATCAGACGTGTTTGTTTGCAGGCGCAAGTCGGGAAGAAACAACCGCGTAGTTTTGTTTACAACCTCAGCTAACAGTCCACGTACTTCCATTTATGTAGATATAAACACCCGAAACCTACAAAACACACCAACGACACGCAATAACAACGTAGACACCCATCGGTCTGTAACGGGTATAAATATATGAAAGGAATATGAAATCAAGCGTTTAAGAAAACAGAAATCACGTGTTTAAGTCTTCCCGCAAACGACGTTGTCGGTTGCTAGCTAGCATGCTAACCTTCTCCTCGACACAATGCACAACGATTGACGCATATTTTCTGCTCAGCCAACGGAAAAACGCCGGGACTCCCATCTTCGGTACAATCGTTTATCCGTCTGACACTTAAAAAACAATAAATGATGTCTTGAGAAAAACAGTTAAAAAAGCTATATTAAAACACGAGGTTTGTTGTGAACGAGGTGGCTCCGGCTACATGCTGTTGGCCGTGGCCTTTAATACTGTTTCCGGTTCACCTCGGCTTTATCCGGGGGTTCCGGAAAATCAAACGCGCCCACAGCGACCCCAGCAACCACAGGCGGTACTGCAGCAGTCAAGTCTCAAGTACATAGTCAAAGAAATTAAGTAATTATATGATTTACTTTTAAGTGTATGTACTACTACTATATTGTATAAAAACACTTGTATTTAAAGTAAAAGTTTTTGTGCTACTTTAGTAAAATTATGCTTGTATAATTAGGAAAAGTATGGAGATGTTCATGGCCTACAGTCAGCAATTATTTAATATATAAAAACATGTAAAAAAAATGAAACACAATAAGAAAATATTGTTTCGAAGAACGCAGATTGGTTGTCTTGGTTTAGAAGAATACTACATCGATAATTAAATAGAATATATTGATACTATTTATTTTTGGATGTTACGTTATGTTCCTTTAATGGGGGAAGCAGAGGCCCTGCAGCATCACATTTAAGGTGAATTACTTTCCATAGCGAGGAGGGAGGGATGGGGGAACTGCAGCGTTTTTACTGCAAAGAGCTGCTGATGGAAAACACTTGTCCCCATCCGACGAGGCCATTTCAATATTTACACCAGGGCGGCCGGTAGAGAGGAGGGAGAGTGGAGGACATCACACAAACATCTCTCTCTCTCTCTCTCTGTCACCCCTCCTCCTCTCTCTCTGCAGAGGATGCATGCTCTGAATTCATATAGATATAGATAGATATTTATACATATTTGACTATGTTCAGTTTGAGAAGTGAGAGGAGCAAAGAGCTGATGGAAACCAAAGCAAACCCTCTTTAATTCCTTGATTTGGTCCCCTGCGACACTCGGGGGACCTGAAGAGGCAGAGCGCCCCCCGCTGGTGGAGTTACACCAGTAAGACCTGAAGCTCCAGCAGCTCCCTAAACATCCCAAATGTTCGAACAGGAAGTTGTGTCCATAAATCCAGAGACTTCAAACAGCAGAAAACGTTTCAAACGTTTCTTTGTGAGCAATCAATGTCTCTGGTCTGATCATCATTTAGAGATATAATACTTACACGTATAGTTCATCTAATAGATATCTGTTTTCACACGAAGCAGACAAAGACTTGTTTCTTGTTCTTCTGAGTTTGTATCCTTATGGTTGAAATGCACTTATTGCAAGTCGCTTTGGATAAAAGCGTCAGCTAAATGACATGTAATGTAATGTACAAAAGAATTCTCCCTCTCATACTTTCATTTCTAATTTCTCTCTATACAAAGGTGTCTGAGATGAACTCATGACTTTATTTTTACCTTCATGTTTCATTTACAAATGTTATACTTACAAAGTGTCTTATTAATATGGTGATATTAAGAGAGAAGCCCTCTGGACGCTTGTTGATAACTAACATTAAAACTAATTTCTGAAATGTCATGTAAAAATATGCAAATGTAGGTCTCATTTAGAGGCAATTTTTGGAAACATCCGGGGAAATCTATGAAGGTAAAAAGAGGAAGAAGGAAATTGAACGGGCAGGTGTAACCGGATCAGTGACTCTCTGATTGGAACCGGCGATGGTGTAAAAAAACACTCAGAGGTAAAGCGCTTTAATTGAGCTAAATCTGTCTCAATGAAGGCACACTTGAAAAAGCGAGAGGCAGCAACAAGGGGTCCTTACCTGCACATTAGGGGGGGGGGCATTTTAATATCCCCCCTCCCCCCGTTAGCATCTCGCTGCAGTGGGACTCAATCATGCTGATGAAAGTTCACAAGGGAGCCGAGTCTGTGTGATCTATAAATAAATCTGTTTATGTCCGTTGTCATAGTAAATTTAAGTGTACATTTTGAGGTACTTGTACTTACACTCATACTAATATATGACTCAACATCTCAGAGGGAAGTACTGGATTACAACTAGTTGATCATTTCATCTACTTTTTATTGTTACTCTACTATTTGCATTGAAGCGCCATCATTTTGAATCAAGTAGCAGAGACGGACAAGATGAGATAAGATAACGTCCTGTGTCCAAGAACTACACAATCTTTGAATACCTGGAAGTTTTTTTTAAATATTTTTCTCAGAAGCCAGACCGACGTTCTGAAAAATGATCTTCTCTCCTGAATATCTTGAATATATGAATATCTGACTTGTTTAGAGGGACACAATCTTATGTGAATAAAAGCTGCACGTGCACATACACAGTAATACATTACTATGAAGACAATCTCCAGGAACACAGATTAAACAGATTAGATATAATAATAATATATAAAAGTACCATCTAGTGGTTAAAGAGAGAGAGCTCCAACCTCGTGGTGCTCTCAGGCCTTCTGGTCTCATGCTGCCCCCCAGTGGTGATGCGCAGCCCCTGACCCCCCTTTGGAGTCATAGAGCATAAAACCACAGCAAACTGGTTTCTGTTCACTGGTTTTCTGGATCTTCTGTTCAGATCACTGAGCTGCTGTGTAAACTAATCCTGGGGTGGGGGGGTCTCGCGCTTTGTGTTGTTAAATAAAAAGAGAGTGAGGCTTTTACTTTGTGCACCACTGATATGAATGTAAACACAGCTCAAAACACATTCTGCAACTAATTCAACAATATCCGACGGGTCCACAGGAAGATGTGATGGAAAAGAGTTTCTGGAAAGCATAAAAAACTTTCATATTCAATTTCATATTTCAATAAACTCACGTGTGCAAAACTACTCCTCTTGGATAAAACCGAAGGACACTTGGAACGCTCTTATATGGAAAAATCAGAGCAGATAAAATCAGCTGAGGTTTTATTTTCCTTATGAATTTTGCTTCTGTTTGGAAACTTAAAAAACCCTCAGTTGTTCCAATTTTCAGCTTTGGTCTTATACTAATGCTAAAGCTAAGTAGCTGATGTCATAATGGTGGACAAAAGCAACTCCAGTTGCACAAGAAAATGTAATCAATTACTTTCCACGCGAGGGTTTGACAGCTGTAGTTACTTTGCAGGTAGATCAATCAATTAGGAAGTTACGCGCGTATTTGGTAGACCTTCAGAGGGCCCCGACCCCCATGTTGGGAACCTCTAGCATAAATATGTTCGTTTATCTTCGTTCTTGTCGCGGCTGAACCACCAGCTCAGGGAAGCCGGTCTGCTCGTCCGTCTCTCTGGTGAACAGCAGGTGTGACGCCTCGCCGACCACCACCTCGGCCGTGGTGAACACCTCCAGGTCGCCCAGCGCGTGACCCCCGACCGTGCGCCCCTCCCCGTCCGCCAGGCAGACGTGGAGGTGAGCGTCCCGGTTCAGAGTGCCGACCAGGGAGACGATCTCGAAACATCCGCTGAGGTGGAGCACCTGAGTGGAAGACATTAAATACACATATATGTTTATGAACCATATCTTACTTTTCTTCTCTTCTTTGTTCAAATGTTCAATGATTTACAGTAAGACAAAGAAAAATGTAAAATAAATTGTGTGTATAAATAGTTCAACACATATAACTTTCTCGGTACCTCGTTGGTGTTGGTTGCCGTGGCGTTGGCCAACCGGAGCGTTGCCTTGGTAACGCTGCCCACGCAGGTGATGATGAAGGGCGCTCGGAGTTGCCGCTCGTCCACGAAGGCCTGCAGAGACCCCAACAGCTCCTGACCCGGACCGACCCGGATCACGTGGACCTGCAGGGCCGAGCCGCCTGCTGCTGCACTCTGGGAGAAGAAATACTTGTTTGTTTCTGCACTAGTTTATATATATGTATATAAATACATGTATATGGAGTCATATGTAGTGTATTTTATTATTTACCACTAATATCAATCTTATAGAATATGATGCATCGCTGCAGATTTACAACACAATATAAAAGAGTTATTCTACAAGTTAGCAGAAACGTAAAAACAACAGTAAAACATCAGTACTTTTACTTTAAGTACATGAAGGTCAAACATAACAGGATCACTATTAAACCTCTGACTTTACATTTATTAAGTTGAAGATTCAACGTGTAAAATCCAGTTTTACACACAAATCTGGTTGAAAGTGTTATAAATTGACAAAAAGAAAAAGGATTGAACTTAAAAACTAAGAATGGAGGTGATAAAAGAGTCTTTATTCGTTTATAAATATGTATTTCAGAAATGGCCTCTAGTGGTAAATGAACAAAGGGGCTCAAATGCTCACAAACACCTGAGAGCTCTTTACTTTTGTTTCAGCTTCTTCGCCTCTCAAAGCGCGAAGCTCCTCATTTAGTCTTTTTGATATGAATTTGCCCTCAAATGTCACAAAGTGAAACTCACCATTCTGCTCGAGTCGGAGGCTCCTGAGGGACTAAAGTCTGAGCCCGACCCCCCAGTTAAACATTTACACACATGCGGTGATAAGACGGCCGGGGGGTGAAGTGAGCATGCGCAGGAGGAGGTGTCATATTTCTGGTCTTTTACTGCCACCGGCTGGTTCTTCTATCCTTTTATATCTGAGAAGCAGCGTGTTACTAAATAAATAAATAACATTATGTTCCATGAAGAACGTCTCTGGTTCTGCCTCTAGATGGCGCTGCGCTTTAACAAACGGATCTTCTTAAAGAGAGACACCTGTAGGCTTCAGTTCCCACTGGGACAAAAACACTTTTATGTTTAATGCTCCTTCTGACTGAATCATTCACCTGCAGCTTATGGTCTTCGATATGATGTGATCTCCTATTTTCAGACCAATTGTTCATGTTTTAAGGGACATTAATGAACATTTAACAGGTGTAAATCCCATCTTGTTGTGTGTTGTCTGTTTGTTAATCTGTTGCCACGTTAACATGCAGCTTTAATTGGTTTACGTGTATAAGATCAGAGTCACTCATCACGTTGGTGATGATGAAGACGACCAATGAAATGAGCTTTAACAGCTTGTTGTCATCATTCGTGATCGACTGAGATTTACCTTCAGCCCCCAAACACGAGCAGCCCGAAGCTCAGGAGCCGTCCCAGAGAGGGGTCGCTGGTGAGAGGTCAGAGGTCACCTCAGGACTGAAGAGATTTCCAGCGTTGTGTATTTTCCTCTCAACCTGCTGGTGCATTTAGTCAGTATTTACCCCCCCCCTCCCCTCTGTGGTGAGGAGCGGGGTTTAAATGAGAAGGTGTGTCGGGGCTCCTGGGAGCCAAACGAGGCGTGCCCCCCCCCCCCCCCCCCCCCCTGCGGAGGCCCGGTTATCAGGTGACGGCATCCATGACAACGGGCTGAAGCTCTCAGCAACAGGAACCTCCATGTTCTTCTTCTGCTGTCTTTCTATGAGTAGAATGCACGACATGGACACACACAGTGTCACAGCTGGTCATAAGCTCATCAGTAGGCCTAGTTTAGCATTGAGCAGAACGAGCTTATGTTTGTACGTCCACAAGCTCACAAATGCCTCACTGAAAAAAGATGGAGGCTGTGTGTATTTTTGTGTTGAAGTATTTACACTTTCACATCCTCTCTGCTCTGTTTACCACTGGTGATGTGTTCAAGAGCCGTTGGAAGGAGGAGCGTCTCCACAGGCTGATCTTTTCCGTCTTCTTGCCCTTGACCTCTCCACTCTCACCTCCAGGACCCAGTGACATCACTGGTGGGTGTGGTCAAAGTCGCAAAGGAAACACATCCAGTTCAGAAAACCACTGACCGGACCATTTTAAATGTGGGAGGGTCTCCTGCCTCAGTCTGTCAGGACGCTGTGACGGACGTGTGATGGTGGGACTGGTTTACCACATCTGTACTGGTTTACTACAGCTGTACTGGTTTACTGGTTTGTGTGTACTGGTGCGACATGAACTGGTCTCAAAGAACTTTGAAACAGAAATAAAAGTAAACATCACAGCTGATGTTTTTCACTTTATTTAATGAGATTTGTAGATTTTAAATTGTGTTGCTATTTATTTAACTGCTGTCATTAATCCACATTCTCACAATCGACCTGCTCAACAACACAATTTCCCACAAATTTTAGAAAAATTCTGAAGTGTTGTCTACGCACAAACTACAACATTTTTATTTAATTCAAATAAAGTGTTTATATTTCCCTAATTATTCCAATTTACTAATCGAGCATTTTAATAACTGCTGTTAAGCTCAGAATTAAGAAACAAACTGTTCACAAACAAACGATGGCGCTTTAGAAAATACACATTGCAGTGTTTAAACAGGATTTGGGTGTTTAGTATATTTGGCATAAATATATGTGTGTGTGTGTGTGTGAAGTAATTAAAACTAGAAATACACCCCAAACTGTGGCTCTGTCTTTGGCTGAAGGGGGGGGTGGAATGGTCTGTGTGTATGTGTGTGTGTGTGTGTGTGTGTGTGTGTGTGTGTTGGGGAGGGGGGCATAATTTGTGTGGGGGGGGCAACAATAGCAGACTGTCAGTGCCAACGCCGCCAACCATGACAGATGCATGTGGACACGCCAAACAAAAGCACGGCTGGCCGAGCGTGTGCGTGTCTGTGTGTGTGCGTGTGTGTGTGTGGGGGGGGGTTAGAGGTGGGAGAGGGGGGCAGCTTGTGTATAAGAAGTGAGTGGAGCCGCTCAGCATCAGCACCAGCAGCTCCCAGTAGCCTGTTATCTGCATAATGAGAGGACGATCTGTGACCTTTGTAGCTCAGAAATAATGTGCCGTAATTAGAAGGTACCTAACGAGGAGATTTGATTGGATGTCCTCGTAATCATGAACCAGGAAGTATGAAGGATTACTTCTACTACCACGACTAATACCTTTTATAATACCATTTCTACCTGCCGTGTCTACATGGCACTAAACGGTTTCAGGGTCATAACATTATAACCTTTGCATAATAAAAACTATAACAATATATTTTTTGTGTCTTGTTTTGTGCAGCGAGCTCGGCCAGCTGTTTCCCAATGCTTCCAGCATTTATGCTAAGCTAAACTAAGCTAATCGCTGACTGGTTGCACTTCAGCTCAGCAGCAACAGATAACATAGTTAACAAACTACTACTAACTGCATCCCCTCAATGCAGTACTGCTATAAAATATATAACTTGTACTTATACCAGTATTACTTTTTCTGTATGCAAAGTGTTACTAGGATTAATTTTTACATGATGCAGATTCTAAAATAAAGATTCTGAACACACATGAAGCCTTAAAGGTCTTCGCTTCTCCTCCAAAGCCATCACACACACACACACACACACACACACACACAGAGCTTAATTAGGTTGGACTTTATTCAACAAGCTCATTAGAGTCTTTGGCCAGAATTCTTCCCTCCTGCTGCTTCTCGTTAATTCAACTCGTTCTGGCACGACTCGTCCTCACTCGTTAACTTTTTATTACGCTGGTGTGTAATTATAAATGATCTAATTAAAAGACACAACTCGTCCGTTCCAAGGTTGCGTTGTCAAACGTTTGATATTCAACAATATTAAATGTGAAGCAGAAGACGTTGGCTTGGGGTCAGTTTATTTAATTCAATCTGTTCTCTTCTTCTCTCTTGATTTATTCCCTCAGTAAACATTGTAAACATGAGTTTATGGTCTCAATCTCTAGTTTCAAGTCTTCTTCAATACAGCATGATGTTCATTTAGTGAATTATGGTCCATGTAGAGTCAAACAGGCCATGAAGCAGGGGACGCTTTAGGGCGGGGCTACACATCTACCAGAGATGGTGACGGCGTCCCCACGTCCTTATATGGCCACTTCCTGATTGGTTACAAAAACACAGGTCAGCAACGATCAAAAAATAAGACTACACATAACTACGTCCACTTGAAACGCTGACAAACGCATCGCACACCAGATCCACTGCGTCTTCTTGTGTGTGTTTGTGTGTGTTTTGTATCCACTCAGCAGCATGTCGGAATGACATGTATGAACATGAGCTGCAGGCAGCTGGTGTGTCGTGGAGCCTCGCGGGAGACGTGTGTTTGTGTGTCTGTGTGATTGTGTGTGTTCTGTGGTGTGATGTCATGACAACTCCAGCGTGCAGAAGTGTGAGTGTGGATTTCTGCACCTTCTTTTGGAAAATCTGTAAACAAATAAAAAAAAAAAATTATGACTTATTGTGGGGAAATTAACACATTTTGCGGAAAGTAGAAAAAGATGTTTAGGAAAGTTGAAGACATCTTTTAAAAGCAGGACGTTTTTAATAAGTGGGCATTTTTAGTTCTGTGAAATCTTATGTTTGAACCCCCCCTTGGCACCCCTTCGTATTTTGGGAATTGGGAGAAAGTGAGGACAATCTTAAATAAATGAGAGTAATATTTTGTGGGGTATTTTGTGGAGGGGGACATCCTGGCGTCCTTTGATGACCCTGCAGCTGTGAGACTCTGGGAACAGTTTCACTTCCTCTCGGAGTCTCTCAGGTGAGGCCTCTCCGACCAAAGAGGAGCCGTGACCTTTTGTTATCGCGGATTCATCCTCCGCGTCTGAAATCAAAGGGCCCTCACACATCCTTTCCCGGATCAATCTCCCCCCCCCCTGCCCCCCGCCCCTCCATCCCTAACCCATCCCCTCAGCAGGAGTGCCGGGGCTTTTAGGGTGAAATTACACTGCAGTGCTTCTGCTGGTGGTTTTAGAAGTACTGTGTTGACTTCAGGGCTTTCTCATGACAACAAAATTGCTCTTCATATGGATGCCACTTTTAGCCCCCCCCACCTCCCGCCCGGAGGCAAAGACGTCGGCCATTAGAGCCCGCAGTCGGGCGCGGCACGAGATGAGCGAGATTGGCGAAGCGATAATAGAGATGCTGTGAGCCTATTAGGGCCCAGTGTGGTTCAACCGCCTCCACTGCAGGTAAGAGGGTGTGTGTGTGTGTGTGTGTGTGTGGGGGGGCTCCACCGAGATGATGTCATGCTTTTTGTTTTTTGTAAACAGCTGTCTGCTGGAGGGAATCAGCGTCTCCTTCCCCTGAACACGGACACGAAGCGGCCTGACTGCATACCTGCAGTACCAGGCCCCTTTCAGGGGTTTTGTGTGTTCGGTGGCAATAGCCCCCCCCTCCTGTGCTTTCCCTGCTGCCTGGCTTAAACTAATCCCATTATCGGGGAGGCGGGCTCACGCTGATGTGGCTCGCTAACTGACCAGCTGCTCCGAGTCGGACGCCAGTGAGCTGAGATACGGTAGAATTAACAAGGAGCTGTTCAACAAGAGAACATTTTTACTTTTAAAAATCTAGGGTCACATGAAAGGGTTAAATTGTATTTTTCTGTAAAATTTCTTTTCATCTTCTTCTGTTCTCCTGAATTAATTTTCTTGATTGGGGCTGTGCAGTTTGGTGCCTTGTGCGATGTTTAAGGACCGGGTAACCGTGGCAACCGCCAAGATGCTTCCAGGTGACACTCAAGGAGGCGTGGAAATGTCTGAGTCAACTGGATTTTCACAATAAAAGAAAGGATGTGAAAAAATATAGTCAAAAAGGTCACAATGTAATGGTTACATAATT